GTCTGAGTGTGGGTTAAAGCTAACTCTGTTGTGTGTGTGTGTGTGTGTGTGCGTGCAGAGCCACCAGGACCCGTCGGTGTGGGTGGAGGACCTGCTGCAGCTCCACACAGCTCGAGTCAAAGACGTGGAGATCCTGACGGGTCTGGACTTGTTCAGATCCACCAACATGACCTACAGCAGCGCGCTCAGCCTCAAGACTCGTCTGTTCACCTACGAGGACGACGACTAGACGCTGAACACACACACACACACACACACACACACCTCAGACTCAGGAGAACATGGAGCACAACAACATCTCTGGTCTTCAGTGGTTCTCCACCTGAGGAACGAGGAACGAGTTTAGTCAGAGTGAGAGTGGGGGGGGGGGGGGGTAGGGGGGGGGGGGGCTAGATTTGGACTTTTCTCCAACCAGATCTTCATGGACCACAGTGTGTTTTAGCTTTAACACCAGCTCCAGTTTCTACTGACCTTCAACTGCATGATGTAGGAGTGAATGAAACAGCAACATTATTGTGTCAGACACTTTGATCCTGGCTGTGATGACGTCATCACAGACAGGATCACCTTGTATTAATAAATGTAAAACTCCTCTACAACAAAGTCTCCACAAAATTCTTCACATTGGAAAACAATCCTGGTGTTGATCTCAGCAAAGACCCCGAGAAGACGAGTCTTCTTCTCACTGTCAGTGACGGCCTGAGTCACGGGTTCACGTCCCGTCACGGCGGTGAACTCCTGGTTATCTGCTCCAGGCTCACGGATCGGAGGTTTTATCTTTAGACCCATAAATATTTATCTTTACGACGGGCTCTGAAGATCAGGTCTCTGATCCTCTCACCTTCTTCACGTGGATCAGCTGACTGACTCAGTGACAACATGAATCCAGACCCTGCCAATAAAGGACTGGTCACACCTGGTCCAGAGGTCAGAGCAGGAACACTGGTCCGCGTCTGTGCCCGGCTCACTGACACCATGGACTGTTTGAAGAAGAAGGGCGTCGTCGTGAGTCTCACTCCTCTGTTTTCTGCTGGGTTCCCATGTTGTGGTGTGTTAGCATCGATGCTAGCAGCGATGCTAACACACTGTCTTTCTGTTGTTTCACCTTCGTTCAGTAGTTGAACCTCTTTTTCCGCGACCTCTGCAACAGTTCTGGCGCTAATTTAGAACCGTTTCTGGGAAATGCTTCAATATTTTTAAAGTAATTTTCGAGGCTGTCGATCGATTCAAAGATCAGATGAATCAGGCTAGCTGTACTGTAATCCAGATTAATCCAGATTAATGACAAAATCAAATGTTCCTGTAACCGTCAGTACCAACAACAGCAGGTAGAGGTCAGTGTTTCTCACCTGTTTCCATCAGTGACTAATCCAAATGATGGGATTATTAATCTGGACAAAGGTCCGACAGTCAGAGGGTTTCAGTCACGACAACAATCCGTCCGACTGTTGTGTCAGTCAGACTGCTACGACACAGGCCGGGCCGCTGACCAGAGGTTGAAGCACCCACAGACGGGTGTGCTGGGAGTTGATGATGGGATGTTCAGGTCCAGGAGTGGAACTAGAACTGTAATAAGAGCGGCCTGTGCTTCTGCCTAACAGAACTGAGGTCAGTGGTTCGATGGCCAGCTCTAACTGTTGCTGCTTCTGTGTGAACAGGTCGGTCTCTTGTCAGTGTCCATTGTGGTTCTAATTATTGGTCTTGGACTCGGCCTGGGACTGGACCTGCAGAGGTGTCGCAACAAAGGTGGTGCCACACACACACACACACACACACACACACTGTCTGACCCCTGACGTCTCTGTCTTCTGTCTGTTGTAGTGGTTCCTCACACGTCCTGCAGGGGGCGATGTTTGGAACCCTTTGGTGAATCTCCAGGCTGCAGGTGTGACTCCAGCTGTGGGAACAGCAGCGCCACCTGCTGCCCCGACTTCCTGGATCTCTGCCTGCTGCCCAGTAAGACCAGGATCAACACTGGACCCAGACCCGGTCCAGGTCCAGGTCCAGGTCCAGGTCCAGGTCCAGGTCCAGGTCCTGAGGTGAACCCTGACTCTGTTTTCTGTCCTTCTCCTCAGCTGAGAGCTGGGAGTGTACGGCGCTCCGCTGTGGAGAGAGGAGGAGCAGCAGGAGCAGGTGTCAGTGTTCAGACGACTGTCTGACATCAGGAGACTGTTGTACCAACTACAGACGAGTCTGTCATGGTGAG